GTTATTTATTCAGATGAATTACCACAGCATTTGAAATTTTGAATAGAACCAGTCTATCTTGAAAATTTTCAAAAGCGTATATTTTAGTTCAAGCCCTGTGACTCCCTCAACACATTGAAGCAGACAAAGGCTGAAATGTCCGCTTCGAAGGCCTCGTTCACACTGACTTTTTCTTGCCTCCTCTATATATATGTATCCCCTCTCATCCTTCCCATTAACCTCAACCTTCAACTACAAACCAGTTACAAAACCCTTTCCAACTCAGTCTCATGTCTTCTCTGCACATCGCAAATCTATCTTCTTCTTCTTCTTCTTCGAGCAGAGTTAACGCCGCCATTAGTGTCCCTAAGCTCCCACGAGTTTCTCTCCCATTTCCAAAAATACCCACATCTTCAACTACGAGGCTGGTTCGTGAATCCGATAAGGGATCCTTATACACAATATCTCCAGCTGATAAAGATCTCGCCAACGCACAAATCCTCCAAGATTTTTCACTTCTTGACGAGTCCAAGGCCACTATTCAGCTTTATGCAATCTTAGAGGCTATCTCAGACAGAATTGAAATGCACAATAACATGGGGGAGCAGCGAAACAACTGGAACTCTCTTCTTTTTGAACTCTGTGAATATGATGACCCTTTCTGCGACGACCATGGTTGGTCTCAACACTGCCATTGACAATACTGCATTCAAATTATCGTCCGCTCTTTTGTTCACTGCCGCCACAGGGATGCTTCTCATCATGAACAAGATTCAGCCCTCACAACTCACTGAGGAACAACGAAACGCCACTAAATTGTTCAAGCAGCTTCAGACTGAAATCCAAACCACGTTAGCTATTGGAAATCCAACTGAGGAAGCCGTCCACAGTGCAATGGAGAGGGTTTTGGCACTTGACAAGGCTTATCCACTTCCTCTCTTGGGAGCTATGCTTGAGAAATTCCCATCAGAGTTTAAGCCTGCGGTTTGGTGGCCAAAAACTAAGACAAATGACGACTTCGAAGCACAAGTATTCAGATCGCAGAAGAAAACCAATAATGGATGGACTCCAGAACTGGAAACACAGATGTGGCAGCTTCTTGAAGTGGTTAAAAGAAAAGATATGGAGGACTATGACAGACTAGGAAACTTGGCTCTCAAGATCAACAAAACCTTAGCCACATCAGGTCCCTTGCTCACTGGGATTGCAGCTTTAGGGTCTGCATTAGCCAGCCATGGTTCGTCTTGGCCAGGCATTGCGGCCGTCGTGGCAGGGTCGTTGGCGGCTTCTGTGAATTCTTTGGAGCATGGAGGCCAAGTGGGGATGGTGTTTGAAATGTACAGAAACTGTGGAGGATTCTTCAAGTTGCTGCAAGAGAGCATAGAAACAACGCTTGAAGAGAAAGACTGCGAGAAAAGAGAGAATGGCGAGCTTTTTGAAATGAAGGTGGCAACGAAATTGGGAAGAAGCGTTTCCCAACTCAGACGACTTGTCTCAAAATTTGTTGCCTATGAGTCGGAAGGAATAGCCATGGATGAATTTGCCAGTAAACTTTTTTGAAGACTAACTTCAGTAATTAATTCGTTGATTCAATTTAATTATTTTATTTTGTATAGGATCATTCATTTATTGTTTGTGTATAATCTGCTGGTTAATATAAGAAATACTCTTAGTTGGACACAATATTGCACTTGTGGAAAAACTACCACTTGGAAATTGCAAATAAAATCTAGTTTTAAGATTTGCAACTTATGGAATGGGTCCGTAATGGAATGGCATAATCATTCACTAATTATACTCAAAATTCTCAACAATGCTTACTATATCAGGTTTTTAATATAAGATTCATTTGACTTTATTTTAGTTCTAAATATAAGACCCCAATTCATTTTATCTCTCATATTTGTTTATTTTTCTTAAATAGTCCTTATAGTAATAGTAGTTCTAGCTATTGCATTTGATTGGTAAGGATATTGTAGGAAAGACAACACCTATTTATTACAAATAACTAATTTAACTAGTTTTCTTAATCTATTTAAATTAGTCAACTAATTTTATATTAAAAAAAAAGTGGTAAAAGATATCTTATTGTCTTGTAGGTCAATTAGTTGTGGCAGAATTGTAACCTAATTGGATTGAACTCATTTTGGGCCCAACAAAATAAAATTTGTCAACTTGAGAGAGAGAATTGTTTTTGAATATAAATATGGAATTCCTTAACTCAAAATAGGAGTACAAATCAAAGAAACACACAGCATCTACAATTCATCAACCTCTGCCTCCTAAATAAAAGGAGGAGGGTGATCAAGGAGGCAAAAGTTACCATCGGTCCTATGAGCATATTTGGCTAGTTGGTCTGCTATGGTTACATCTTCTCTGTACACGTGTGTGATCACAACCTACCACTCTCTATGGAGTAGCAGTCTAAGTAAATTTACAACATCATCAAAAAGGTGAGTTATCTTACAACCTCTAAGAGCAAAACTAACGGCATCAAAATAATCAGACACCAAATAACTAAATCTCGCAACCTTTAGACCAACATATATATTAAGACCGCGTATGAATCCAATTAATTCAGCAACCGCCGGGGAACAGTCGTTAGTTTACAACTGAAGCCAATCGGTCTTATGTGATTCCAATCCCAAGCATATAGCCCTTACAACCACTTCTGCCACCCTTCAAAACTGAAACATCCATTGTCAGTTTGATGCCACCCTCCTTGTGTAGTATTGAAGGACCTCCTGTTGAGTGACCAGAGTGACCCTAAGCTCTATAGTTTAGATCCTGATCCACTCAGGCCTTGAAGAAATTGGAGTTGGCATTTAGGTTTCCGTCCCTAGTTTCATCGCCAAACAGCTTGTTACACCTAGACACTCAAATGTCCCAACATACGTAGCCAAAACGCATAGACCATGGAACCTTTTTAATACTCCTTCAGCTCTTAATATAAGAATTATTTAACTAATTTGATTAGATTTAAAAAGTTAGGTAAGTTAGTCAATTATGAGAAATATAACATGTTTTTGTTATATATAAAAAAAAGGAAATATATCATTTTTTCCCTTAAAATATCACAATCATCTGCCTTAATATCCTTCCTTCCTCTCCTACTTGATTATGGTTAAGGAAATATCGATAAGGATAATTTTAAAAAAAATTTAATAAATATGAAAAGTATGTCTTATATTTAGAACTATGATCAGCTGGACAATTAAGTCATATATTAAGAACCGGAAGAAAATAAGGCATCCCTGCATCATGATTCAAATTCCATTTCATCCAATCTGCTCCTTCAAGCGAAACACAGAGAGAGAGAGAGAGAGAGAGAGAGAGAGATTTAGCGCTGGCTGGATTTGTGAGAGGGGGTGAAACTGTGAAAGTTGTTTTGTTTTTTCTAATAAGAAACAATTATTAACCATGGATAAAACATTAGTTAAAATTAGTTAGAGACAATAAATATATGAAAACTGTAATTTTTTAAAAAAATATCTTCATTTATGAGGAAGAGTATAAAGAAGAAAATATGAAAATTATTAAAATAAAAAGATTGTAGAAGAGAGACACTATGTAGTGGAAGAATGCTTCAGGGTCATGTAATAATAAATGTATTAATATTAAAATGAGTAATTAAATGAGATAAAATGAAAAATTAATTAAAAAAATTTGAGACATATCCTAAATGCCTCTTACGAATGAGTTATAGGTGATAGTTGTTGGTAAAAAAGAGTTATAAGTGATAGTTGTTTTTTATAAAAATAAAAAGAGTATAGTAAACTCGTAGAATAAAAATTTCGTGATTAATTACATGACATTACACCGTTGAAAATGACTGCAAAGTTTTAAAGAAAAAAACAGAGAAGAGAAGCTTCTAAGCGGACTTGATTAAATAAAGGAAGGCACAATTTTTTTTGAGCAAAATAAGGGCTTTTTTACCTAGAAACTATAAACAGTAAATAAAATTACTCAGATGTTAGATTTTCAAAAATATTTATCAAGATGCTCTATTTAAAGAAGTTCATGCTTACTTCAAATTTATACAGAATTCATGGGAAGAACGAGTTCCATCTCATTGCTAATGTGACATCATTTTTTTAGACTACAAAATGAAATGGTTCCCAGCCTCAAGGATGTCTTCAGTACCGCGTTGCATTTTCATTTTGCGTGCCTTTCATGGGTGGAAGGAAGGATAAATGACTCTTGGGCCTACAAATTAATTGAGTGAGAAAAAAGTGTCTCAATCCACCCAACAAAATTTTTAACAATCTCTTCATATGTATAATGTTAAAGCAACATTACATCTTACTTGCACGTCACTATCTTGTTCAGATCTTTGTTAGTGAATTAATTAATCAGTAATTAGATCGTGGGTGCATACTTTATTTTATGTGGATTTTATATTTTACATTGAGATATTGATTTGTAGAGTACTACCTCCGGTTCTAATTACAAGAGCCAGTTGACTAATTTGAGGAGATCAAGGAAGTAAGTTGAGTTAGTTATTTGTCCTAAATAGGTGTTGTCTTTTCTAAAATATCTTTGCTAATCAAGTATATTTGTCTAGAACTATCATTGTTAGAAGGCTTATTTTAGAAAAAAAAATATATAAAAATGAGAGACAAAATGGATTGAGATCTTATATTCAGGATCAAAATAAAAGTCAAACATGATCTTATATTAAGAACCGGAGGTAGCAGGTAGTAAATTAAATAGAACAAGTCTATCTTCAAATTTTATATTGACACGGGCAAATTCTGAAATTCAAGAGCTGACACCTTTGAGCTTGAAAGGTATACATATAATATAATATAATATGTGAAGAGTATAGAAAATGTCAGCCAGAAGAGGCTAAGTCCACTTTTTAATTCGTCAAGAGTCAATGTTTTCTTCTTCTCTGACTTTTCTCTTCCCTCTCTTCTCATCTCTATATATATGTGACCTCTCGCCTTCCCATTTTTCATTCAAAATCTTAACCTCCAAATTGTAACACACCAGCGAGGAAAGCCTTCAGAATTATTCTCATGTCTTCTCTGCACATCTCAACGCTTTCTTCTTCTTCTTCTTCCTTGAGCAGAGTTCACGCCGCCATTAGTGTCCCCAAACTCCCACGATTTCCAATCTCACTTCCAAAAATACCCACATCATCGTCTGCCAAAGTGGTTCAGGAACTCGATGGCTCCAAACAAACAATAGTTCCATCACAGAAGTTTCAGGATTCTTGCGATCCAAACAGGTCCAAGGCCATCATTGAACTATATGCAAGCTTGGAGGCTGTGGCAGACAGAGTTGAAATGCACAAAAACATTGGCGAGCAGCGAAACAACTGGAACTCTCTTCTTTTTAACTCTGTGAATATGATGACCCTTTCTGCTTCAACCATGGTTGGTCTCAACACTGCCATTGACAATACTGCGTTCAAATTATCGTCCGCTCTTTTGTTTACAGCCGCCACAGGGATGCTTCTCATCATGAACAAGATTCAGCCCTCACAACTCACTGAGGAACAACGAAACGCCACTAGGTTGTTCAAACAGCTTCAGAAGGAAATCCAAACCACACTAGCAATTGGAAATCCAACTGAGGAAGACGTACACAGTGCCATGGAGAGGGTGTTGGCACTTGACAAGGCTTACCCTCTTCCTCTCTTGGGAGCTATGCTTGAGAAATTCCCATCAAAGTTTGAGCCTGCTGTTTGGTGGCCCAAAACGAAGACAAACAACGACTTCGAAGCACAAGTATTCAGATCGCAGAAGAAAACCAATAATGGATGGACTCCAGAACTGGAAACACAGATGTGGCAGCTTCTTGAAGTGGTTAAAAGAAAAGATATGGAGGACTATGACAGACTAGGAAACTTGGCTCTCAAGATCAACAAAACCTTGGCCATATCAGGTCCCTTGCTCACTGGGATTGCAGCTTTAGGTTCTGCACTACCCAGCCATGGTTCGTCTTGGCCAGGCATTGCGGCGGCCATGGCTGGGTCGTTGGCGGCATCTTTGAACGCATTGGAGCATGGAGGCCAGGTGGGGATGGTGTTTGAAATGTACAGAAACTGCGGTGGATTCTTCAAGTTGCTGCAAGAGACCATAGAAACAACACTTGAAGAGAAAGACTGCGAGAAAAGAGAGAACGGCGAGGTTTTTGAAATGAAGGTGGCCATGAAATTGGGAAGAAGCGTTTCGCAGCTCAGACAAGTTGCCTCTAAATTTGCTGCCTATGAGTCAGAAGGAATTAACATGGATGAATTTGCAAGCAAACTTTGTTGAAGACTAACGTTTTTCAGTTCGTCGATTCGATTTAACTATTTTAACTTTGGATAGGAACATTCATTATTTCTTCATTATGTATAGTCCCCCAACATGTATACAAGCAATATTCTTACTTTGACACAGAAAATATTGCAATTTTACACAGAAGAATTTCCCTTAGCACATGGAGAATTGAATCAAACTTTTGATGGTACAGAAACCACCACTTTGAAATTGCATAGCGTAGCATTTAAGGTTTGTAACTTATGGAAGGGATCCGTAATAGATATATCATTCAACGTATTGGACTCAACATTTTCAACAATGAATTAGATGGTATCTTAACCTGGTTGACTCGGTAAATTTGATCCAGCTCAAACAAGTTGGATTCAGCTCATTTTGAGCCCAAAAGAAATAAAAATGCAACTTACAAAAAGTGAAAAAACCGAAAGAAAATCTAATGCTGGCTGGATCTGCGAGGGGGGCGAGAGTCTTGAAAAATGCAACGCACAAAAAAATGAAAAAAACCCTAAGAAAATCTAATGCTGGCTGGATCTACGAGGGGGTGAGAGTCTTTAAAAAAAAAAAAACCAATTTAAATTCAGTTTGTGTCAAGATTTCGCCTTAAAAAAAGAAAAAAAAAACCGACTGATTGTTAATATTTTGATTTATCATATCACGTAAAAGATAATTCTTCTTTGTCATTGAATCAAAGTTTTTTTTTCCTTGTACTAATTAACTAACTACCTGCACGGTGTTTACTATGTCCAATCCTAATTATAAGAGCTAGTTGACTAATTTAAGGAAAGAAGTTAAGTTAGTTATTTATAATAAATAGGTGTTGTCTTTCCTAAAATATCATTCCTAAACAAGTGTATTGGTTAGAACTATCATTGTTATAAGGACTACCTTGGAAAAAAATGCATAAATATGAGAGACAAAGTGGATTGGAATCTTATATTTATGACTAAAATAAAAGTCAAATAATGTCTTATATTAAGGACCGGAGGTAGTATATATATTTAAATTAACGACTCAGTGGGAGAAATATCACAAATAAAATAGCCCGACTTTAGCTCCAATGGAGCCTTACTTAATCCAAGGGCATCTGAAAACATGACCTACAGAATTGTAAAGAACAAAGAATATTACAAATAAATTTAGTGAAACACAAAAAACAAACAAATCGCCGATCTTATGTCTAACAAATTCACAATATCTATACTACCTTACTTCTAAATATAATACTCTTCCGGTTCTAAATATAAAACCCTTATACACGCTAGTATAAGGGCCATATATTTAGGACCGAAGGAGTATCTACTTAATGCAAATTGCATCACTAAGTGGATTTTAAACTACCTCTGTGACAAATCCTTATTTTATATATATTGTCATGATTTAATTTTTGAGTTTTAGGACACTTTTATGGCTTAAATCATGATTATTTGGTTTAATTGAGTGCTTATGGCATTTTAGGAATTATGTGCTTAATTGCTATTAATTGATAATAATTATGTGATTTTTAATTCCTAAATATTTGTGTCCTTGGGATATATGATATTACATTTAGTTGAATTATTTTTCAGGTGATAATTAAGAACTTGGATAAGTTAAATCACTTTGTGTTAGAGAAGAAAAGAGTTTCCAAGAGAACCAAAATTTCATGGATTTTCTATTCCATAAAGATTTCAATTCCTTTTCATTTTACCTACACTTATCCCCAAACACTCTTTTAGTTAACCCTGCATCTATCTCCTATTTTCCCGAACCAAACAAGGCCTTAGTTTTGGACCTCCATTTCCCTTCAATATTTGACCGAAAAGAGACGGGGGAGAGTCAGAGGGTGCAGCGGCAAAAATTCTCCCATATCCTTCCATTCTCACTCTCGCCAAAATCCTTCCTCTCCCATCAATCCAAAACCACCAATTCTTCATCTTCATTAATGCTTCCCTCCATCTCTTCATTCTCGCCAAATCCCTTCACTCATACTCGGCCAATTCCTTTTCTCCATCAATCCGAATCCATCCATCCATCCATCATCATCATCGTCTCTTTCATCTTCCCTCATGTTTTCTGCTATTGTTGAAGCAGACGGTGGAGCTTTAGTGATGCAGAGGCTTGGCTAAATCCTTCAATCCTCTAGAGCAGTGTTTACGGCTTGAACTTGGAGCCTCAAATGGTAGTTTCCGCTCTTCCAATCTTTATTTCTTTTATTGTATTAGTGATTCTTAAGTTTCAGGATGAATTTTATAATGTTTGGTATATTTATATTGAGATTGGTTGTAGTTGTTTGATCTTTGATTAGCATTTTACATTGTGCTGTGATTAGCTTTAATTTCTTTACATTGTATGAGTCAGACTATGTTTTGAAATTATTGTGAATATTTAGTGCTAATTCAAGGAGGCTTGGTTATTGGGTTAAAAATGTTAATTGCTTTTCTTTGATTCTCCTTATAGCTAATTATGCTAAAACAGTTTAATTGTAAGTAATTAATTTTCAAGGTGACTTGATTTTAATTATTCTAATTAAACCAAATCTAAAAGGTGGCCCTTAAAGTCTTTTGAAATTAGCTAACTCCCAAGTTAATTGAAGTAATGATAACATAAATTATTGTGCTAGAGGATTGCTATTCTATTGTTATCGCTTTTTAATTCTCTTCGTTTATTTCATCCGTATCCATTTTATAAACTAAAAATCCAAAAATTATTTATTCATGCATCCTTTTAAATTTTGCCAATTAGTTAGTTAAAAAGAAAATCAATTCTTTTCTAAGTCAATCTTCTATATTTTACATACTTAGTTACTTAGGAATTTTTAGAGGCTCTCTAAAATGAACACGACCTGAATCATGTACTAAATTGCATTAATTCGGTTGATTTTGAAGTAAACCTAAGGCGACTAACAGTTCGTTCTTCACTTTGGTCCTTAATAAAAGATCCAGTTGACTAATTTAAAAAAATTAAAGAAATTAATAAATTACTTAATTATAGTATATATTACATAATCTCTCTAGAATATTTATTTGTATCATTAAATTATATGTTAATTTATAAGTGAGAAAAATTAATTTTAAAAAAATAAATATAAATAGTTAAAAGTAGTTTAGTAACTTTTTTAATTTGTTCAAATTAATTATTTGAGTTTTATATAAGAATTGGAGGTAGTATTTAGTATGGAAGGAGGTAGTATAATTTTAAACCATGTCTTGTATCAAAAAATAATTTTAAACCATGTCAGATGTTTCAGTTGGAACAGGGGGGATCTCAAATTTGCTTGCTGACCACCTAGCTAGCAAGTAAAATATTGATGACATAGACCACTTAAGAGTCTACATGTGTGTGTTACAAAAGATTACATTTAACTTACATACAAATCACTACTTGGTTCAGATATCAATCTAATGAATAAAATATTAATACTGTGGGTCCATATTTTATTTTATGTAGATTTTATGCTGTAAATTGAGATAAACACAAACACACACACACACACATTCGTAGTTTGAATGATGCATATTTATAACTAGTATTTTTAGGATTAGAAAATCTGACCGGCCCCGTTGCCGCCGGAGAAAGAAGACTGCTTGAGCCGTATGAAAACGGGTTTTAATGATTTTAATTTGGAGTAACAAGCATATCTGAGTTTTCCTTAATATCTGAAATTTTCGGTTGATTCACAAATCCTTCGATCCCACATTAATTGCACAATTACGTACTGAGTTACTCTCTTTTCCTGACATTAACACACATCGTTTTATGAAGAAGAAGAAAGGAGGAGGAGGAAGGAAGGGGAAAAAAGTGTACTTGCATGTGATAGGATTCCTTTTTTTCATGTTGCATGTGATAAGCTTCCGCGTTTTCGGGACATTGCTTATAATCTCGCAGCTTTGTTTGAGCTTGACATTATAGATTATACATATAATATTAGAGTACATATAGAGAAAAGAAAATATCAGCCAGAAAAGGCCAAGTCCACTTTCGATGCGTCAAGAGTCAATGTTTTCTTCGTGTCTGCCCTTTTTCCAGCCTCTTTCATTTCTCTCTATATATTCGTTCTCCCCATTTTTCATTCAACATCTCAACCTCCACCTATAACACCCCAAAGAGAAAACCTTCCAAATTGTCCAATGTCTTCTTTACCATTCTCAATTGTATCTTCTTCGTCTTCTTCTTTTTCTCATAATAGGATTCATGCTTATGCTTCCAACAGTATGCCAGAATTCGCACGAGTTTCAATCCCACTTCCAAAAATGCTCACATCATCAACTTCCAACCTGCTGGTTCAGCAGTTCAATGGCCCCATCCAAACAATAGTCCCATCACAAAAAGATGTAATCTTCACCACATCGCAAACTTTTCAGCATTATTCTTGCGACCCAAACAGGTCCAAGGCCATGATTCAACTGCATGCCATCTTGGTGGCCGTAGCTGAAAAGATCGAAATGCACAAAAGTATTGGAGATCAGCGAAACATTTGGAACTGCCTTCTTTTGAACTCCGTCAACATGATGATCCTTTCTGCCTCAGCCATGGTTGCTCTCAACACAGCCATTCACAACACTGCACTCAAATTAACGTCCACTCTTTTGTTCACTGCCGCCACAGGGATGCTAATCATCATGAAAGTTTCAGCCCTCACAAATGGCCCGGGAACAACGAAATGCGACCAATTTGTTCAAGCAGCTTCGCAGTTATATCCAAGCCAAGTTAACTCTTGGAAATCCAACTCAGGAAGACGTTAACAGCGCAATGGAGAGGGTTATGGCACTTGACAAAGCTTATCCTTCCAAGTCTGAGTGCCCAATGAAAGTTCCGGAACTAGAAAAGGAGATGAGGGAGAATATAGGAGTGGAGAAGAGAAGAGATATGGAGGACGACGTCTATGAGAGGCTACGAAACTTGGCTCTCATGATCAACAAAACCTTAGCCATATTAGGTCCTTTGCTCACTGGGATTGCAGCTTTAGGCTCTGCTTTTGTGAGCCATGACTCGTCTTGGCCAGGCATTGTGGCGGCCATGGCAGGGTCATTGGCGACGTCTGTTAATGCATTGGAGCGTGTAGGCCAAGTGGGGATGGTAGTTTTAGCTCTTCCAATTTTTATTTCTTTCATTGTATTAGTGATTCCTAAGTTTCAGGATGAATTTTATAATGTTTGGTATATTTATATCGAGATTGGTTGTAGTTGTTGGATCTTTGATTAGCATTTTATGTTGTGCTATGATTAGCTTTAATTTCTTTACATTGTATGAGTCAGACTGTGTTTTGAAATTATTGTGAATATTTAGTGATAATTCAAGGAAGCTTGGTCATTAGGTTGAAAATGTTAATTGCTTTTCTTTGACTTTCCTTATAGCTAATTGTGCTAAAATAGTTTAATTGTAAGTAATTAATTTTCAAGGTGACTTGATTTTAATTATTCTAATTAAACCAAGTCTAAAAGGTGACCCTTAAAGTCTTTTGAAATTAACTAACTCCCAAGTTAATTGAAGTAATAATAACATAAATTATTGTGCTAGAGGATTGCTATTCTATTGTTATCACTTTTTAATTCTCTTCATTTATTTCATCCGTATCCATTTTATAAACTAAAAATCCAAAAATTATTTACTCATGCATCCTTTTAAATTTTGCCAATTAGTTAGTTAAAAACAAAATCAATTCTTTTCTAAGTCAACTCTCTATATTTTACATACGTAGTCACTTAGGAATTTTTAGAGGCTCCCTAAAATGAACATAACCTGGATTATGTATTATATTGTATTAATTCGATTGATTTTGAAGTAAACCTAAGGCGATTAACAGTTCGTTCTTCACTCTTGTCCTTAATAAAAGATCCAGTTGACTAATTTGAAAAAAATTAAAGAAATTAATAAATTACTTAAATATAGTATATATTACATAATCTCTCTAAAATATTTATGTGGATCATTAAATTATATGTTAATTTATAAGTGAGAAAAATTAATTTAAAAAAATAAATATAAATACTTAAAAGTAGTTTAGTAACTTTTTTAATTTGCTCAAATTAATTATTTGAGTTTTATATAAGAATTGGAGGTAGTATTTAGTATGGAAGGAGGTAGTATAATTTTAAACCATGTCTTGTATCAAAAAAATAATTTTAAACCATGTCAGATGTTTCAGTTGGAACAGGGGGGATCTCAAATTTGCTTGCTGACGACCTAGCTAGCAAGTAAAATATTGATGACATAGACCACTTAGAGTCTATATGTGTGTGTTACAAAACATTACATTTAACTTACATACAAATCACTACTTGGTTCAGATATCTATCTAATGAATAAAATATTAATTAGATTGTGGGTCCATATTTTATTTTATGTAGATTTTATGCTGTAAATTGAGATAAACACATACACACACACACATTCGTAGTTTGAATGATGCATATTTATAACTAGTATTTTTAGGATTAAACAATCTGACCGGTCCAGTTGCCGCCGGAGAAAGAAGACTGCTTGAGCCATATGAAAACGGCTTTTAATGATTTTAATTTGGAGTAACAAGCATATCTGAGTTTTCCTTAATATCTGAAATTTTCGGTTGATTCACAAATACTTCGATCCCACATTAATTCCACAATTACGTACTGACTTACTCTCCTTACCTTACATTAAAACACATCGTTTTATGAAGAAGAAGAAAGGAGGAGGAGGAAGGAAGGGGAAAAAATTGTACTTGCATGTGATAGGATCCCTTTTTTTCATGTTGCATGTGATAAGCTTCCGCGTTTCCGGGACATTGCTTATAATCTCGCAGCTTTGTTTGAGCTTGACATTATAGATTATACATATAATATGAGAGTACATATAGAGAAAAGAGAATATCAGCCAGAAAAGGCCAAGTCCACTTTTCGATGCGTCAAGAGTCAATGTTTTCTTCGTGTCTGCCTTTTCTCCAGCCTCTTTCCTTTCTCTCTATATATTCGTTCTCCCCATTTTTCATTCAACATCTCAACCTCCACCTATAACACCCCAAAGAGAAAACCTTCCAAATTGTCCCAATGTCTTCTTTACCATTCTCAATTGTATCTTCTTCATCTTCTTCTTTTTCTCATAATAGGATTCATGCTTATGCTTCCAACAGTATGCCCGAATTCACACGAGTTCCAATCCCACTTCCAAAAATGCTCACACCATCGTCTTCCAACCTGCTGGTTCAGCAGTTCAATGGCCCCATCCAAACAACAGTCCCATCACAAAAGGATGTAATCTTCACCACATCGCAAACTTTTCAGCATTATTCTTGCGACCCAAACAGGTCCAAGGCCATGATTCAACTACATGCAATCTTGGTGGCCGTAGCTGACAGGATCGAAATGCACAAAAGTATTGAAGATCAACGAAACATTTGGAACTGCCTTCTTTTGAACTCCATCAATATGATGATCCTTTCTGCCTCAGCCATGGTTGCTCTCAACACAGCCATTCACAACACTGCACTCAAATTAACGTCCACTGTTTTGTTCACTGCCGCCACAGGGATGCTAATCATCATGAACAAGTTTCAGCCCTCACAAATGGCCCAGGAACAACGAAATGGAACCAATTTGTTCAAGCAGCTTCGCAGTTATATCCAAGCCAAATTAACTCTTGGAAATCCAACTCAGGAAGACGTTAACAGTGCAATGGAGAGGGTTATGGCACTTGACAAAGCTTATCCTTCCAAGTTTGAGTACCAAATGAAAGTTCCGGAGCTAGAAAAGGAGATGAGGGAGAATATAGAAGTGGAGAAGAGAAGAGATATGGGCGACGACGTCTATGAGAGGCTACGAAACTTGGCTCTCGTGATCAACAAAACCTTAGCCATATTAGGTCCTTTGCTCACTGGGATTGCAGCTTTGGGCTCTGCGTTTGTGAGCCATGGTTCGTCTTGGCCAGGCATTGTGGCGGCCATGGCAGGGTCATTGGCGACGTCTGTTAATGCATTGGAGCGTGTAGGCCAAGTGGGGATGGTCTATGAAATGTACAGAAGCTTTGGTGGATTGTTCAAGTTCTTGCAAGAGATCATCGAAACAACACGTGAGAAGAAAGACGACAGCGCCAGGAAAAAGACGACAGCACATCATGAAATGAAGGTGGCTATGGAATTAGGGAGGAGCGTTAAAATTAATCTGATGATTGGTATCTGATAGCTCTGGCAAAAATTATCTCTCTCTCTGTTTTTTTATAAGGATTATTTCATTCTTTATGTATAGTTTCTTGACATATAGTAAAGATTCTTAATATGCTTAAACATTATACAAATTTGCATTAATATAGAGAAAAGTTTTTATTTTTGACTGAAAACCATGTCAAATTTTTTAAATTAAATTTTGAGGTCTGAAAAGGGCGCTTTCTTTTTACCCCCTTCTTTTGTCCTGAAGGGACTTGACTTTGATTTTAGCTTTTGCTAGACTATGATTTGGAGGTAAGGCTTGATAGAGAACATGTCGCAAGAGGCAAGAGTCAACGTTTAGTATTTGGTAAGGGGTGTTCATCAGCCACGCCCAAATGCTCAATGCCCTAAGCCTGGTGGAATTATGCTAGCTCAGCACAAAAAAATAGCCCAAAAATACTTGGGAACTTGCAAGCTGGGCCAAATGTTGGGTAGGGCTAAGCATCATGCAAGATATGCATCCATGCCCATTTGGTCCTGCCCAAACTGTGTGTAAATATATATATATATATATATGATATACATGTATTTATTATATAATTGTATATATATAACATACATAAATGGTATTATTATATATTTGGAGGCTGTAGTTGTTAATATGCTTGATCATGGATATTGTTTTAAAACTCATTGTGTTGTGTTGGATTATGTAATCAAGTGGAAATATGGAATGATAGATAGATATATGACTTGTAATATCATTTTTACATTTCTTCTCTTAAAATATTTAAAGTTCAAAGTAAAATATTGTTCATCACTTTTAATTGAGAGTTTCACATATCATGACAAGGCAACCATTCCTGGGCAAGAGAACCCATCTTCCCTAACCTAACCTAGCCCAAAATTGCTCGGGCTCTAAGTTGAGCAACGGATTGCAAAATACTACTTCCGATCATTAATATAAGATCTCATTTGACTTTTATTTTGGTTAAATATAAAACCTCAATCCGCTTTATCTCTCATATTTATTTTTTTTTCTAAAGTAATCCTTTAATAATAGTAGTTTTAGCCAACACACTTGATTAGCAAGATATTTTAAGAAAGATAACACATATTTATTACAAATAACTAACTTAATTTATTTTTTTAATCTTCTTAAATTAGTCAACTAGCTCTTATAGTTAGGACTGGAGATAATATAACGAGTTTATCATTCAAGCTAGGTATCAAGTAAGAAGGAGTATTGTATAGGGTGATCAAAATAAAGAAAAAAATCAAAAGTAATTATGATATCAACAAAAAATGACGTTTAATAAGAAAGTTATAAAATGAGATCTCGTGGTAATATATTTGAATATTTAGCTTTTGATAAAGCCCAACCACGAATGTAACAACTACCGTTCTACAGAAAAGTATTTTTTTAAGCTTAAAAATAAAAATAAACATATGAAAATGAATCTAAATAATTTATGTTATAAAACTAACGGATATGATTGTAACTTTGTAAGAGCAGGAGAAAATTTAGAACGGGGGAGGAGCCCTCTCATTCACTTTGATTCGAATTGAAATGGGCTTCGTCGAAGCCTCCAATTATTAAAAACTACTACCTCTTTGTTTAATTTTTATTTTAATTCTAAATATAAGACCTCAATTTATTTTATTTTTTATATTTATCTATTTTTTTAAGATGATTCTTATAATAATAGTAGTTTTAACTAACACACTTCATTAGCAATAATATTTTGGAAAAGACAACATTTATTTGCTACAAATAACTAATTTAATTAATTTTTTTAATTTACTCAAATTAGTCAACTAATTTTTATATTAAAGATGGAGGTAGTAATAAATATATTACTCCTCCTGTTCTTAATATAAGATTTAATTTAAAAGTTGATGTTGGTCTTATATATAAAATATATTTCACATGTTTATTAATTTTTTTCTAAGTTAACTAATTTAACTAACATTCTTAATTTACTCAAATTAATTAATTAGATATTAAATTAGGGATGAGAAGAGTATTTTATTATTTTCACTAACATGATATTGCACATTTCTCCAATTCTAAGTGCATTTTATTACACCTGAATGTTCTTGCAAATAACTATCTATATTTACATGCACCCTTCAAATGAAAGGCATGTAAATATTCCTTTGACTTATGAGGTTTGAAAATATGACACAATGCCTTGTTTTTTTATTTTTTTATTTTGTCTTCTTTGCTTCTAATAGGATTTGACTTAGATTTTAGCATTCCGTCTGGATATTAATTTTACAAAATATGTGATGCATAGGATACAAAATGAGTGGTTAAAATAAAGAATGACATCATAAATTATTTGGCATAAAACATACTTACCATTCTTGCGCATTGCCATAAGACTGATGCTATATGATAATGAATATTTGGCATAAAAACCATTAAAACATTAAAAATATAGGTTTGTGTGATTTTTAACATGAATATGGTTTTTGGTGTAAAAAAAATTTCTAATTTTAAATTATTTACTTTTCCTAAAATATAAGATAGACCTTTTTCTATATGTATAAATATAAATATAAGTATATAACAAGATTACATTTCACTCACATACACGTCACTATTTCCTCTGTTCTTTTTAATGAACTTATTAATTAATTAAATTCATTTGTAATTAGATTGTGGGCCCATACTTTATTATTTTATATTGCATATGGACCTATCTGACGCATTGATTTGCGCAGTCTATAGTTAATTAATAATAGAACGAGTCTATCTTCAAAATTTTCAACGAACGTATATATTGAAACGGACAAATCTAATTAAAAAGCTGACATTTTTGAGATTGAAAGGTATAACTACATCAAATATATTAGAGTATATAGAAAATGTCAGCCAGAAAAGGTCAATAGTCAATATTTTCTTCTCCTCAGACTTTTCTCGATCTTCTCTCTTCCTACCGCTATATATATGACCCCTCGTCCTTCCCATTTCTCATTCAAATCTCAACCTCCAACCGGAACACACCGAAGAGAAAACCTTCCAAATTATTCAAATGTCTTCTCTACAGATCTCAACTCTTTCTTCTTCTTCTTCTTCTTTAAGCAGAGTTAACGCCGCCATTAGTGTGCCAAAACTCCACGAGCTCCAATCTCACTTCCAAAAATACCCACCAAATCTTCAACTACGAAGCTGGTTCGTGAATCCGATAATGGATCCTTATACACAATATCTCCAGCAGATAAAGATGTCGGCAACACACAAATGCTCCAACATTTTTCCAAACCTGACGAGTCCAAGGCCACCATTCGATTATATGCAATCTTAGAGGCTGTCTCCGACAGAATTGAAATGCACAACAACATGGGCGAGCAACGAAACAACTGGACCTCTCTTCTTTTGAACTCTGTGAATATGATGACTCTTCCTGCTACAACCATGGTTGGTCTCAACACTGCCATTGACAATACTGCATTTAGATTATCGTCCACTCTTTTGTTCACAGCCGCCACAGGGATGCTTCTCATCATGAACAAGATTCAGCCCTCACAACTCACTGAGGAACAACGAAACGCCACTAGGTTGTTCAAACAGCTTCAGAAGGAAATCCAAACGACGTTAACTCTTGGAAATCCAACTGAGGAAGACGTCCACAGTGCAATGGAGAGGGTTTTGGCACTTGACAAGGCTTATCCACTTCCTCTCTTGGGAGCCATGCTTGAGAAATTCCCTTCAAAGTTCGAGCCTGCTGTTTGGTGGCCTAAAAGTAACAAGACGAATGACTTCCAAAAGCAAGTCGCCAGATCGCAGGAGAAAACGAATAATGGATGGACTCCAGAACTGGAAACGGAGATGTGGCAGCTTCTTGAAGTGATGAAGAGAAGAGACATGGAGGACTATGAGAGACTAGGAAATTTGGCTCTCAACGTCAACAAACCTTAGCCACATCAGGTCCCTTGCTCACTGGCATTGCAGCTTTAGGTTCTGCATTAGCCAGCCACGGTTCGTCTTGGCCAGGTATTGCGGCCGTCATGGCTGGGTCGTTGGCGACGTCTGTGAATGCATTGGAGCATGGAGGCCAAGTGGGGATGGTGTTTGAAATGTACAGAAACTGTGGTGGTTTCTTCAAGTTGCTGCAAGAGAGCATAGAAACAACGCTTGAAGAGAAAGATTGCGAGAAAAGAGAGAACGGCGAGCTCTTTGAAATGAAGGTGGCAACGAAATTGGGGAGAAGCGTTTCGCAACTCAGACGACTTGCCTCAAAATTTGTTGCCTATGAGTCGGAAGGAATGGCCATGGATGAATTTGCCAGCAAACTTTTCTGAAGACTAACTTTTTTCAGTTCGTCGATCCTAACTTTAGATAGGACACAGAAGCATTCTTTTATTCTTTATTATGTAAAGTCTCCCGAAATACAAGAAATAATATTCTTATTTTGACACAAAAAATATTGCATTTGTACGCAGAACTTTTCCTTAGCTTACGGTAGAATTGAATTAAACTTTTAATGATATAGGAATCACCACTTGGAAATTGCAAGTTTAGTATTTAAACTTTGTAACCAATAAAATGGATCCGTATTAAGACTCGGAACTTTCATCAATGAATTGGAAGATATCTGGTGAGCTCAGTAAATTTGATCTTGGATTTGTGGCCAGTGGAAAAAAAAAACAGCTTATTACCAACAAAATTAATTAGTGGCAGAAATTATTCTGTCACTATTTGCTGACGAATTAGTGATATAAATTCTGTTACTAAATTTAGTGACAGGAATTTTTCTGTCGCTAATCCGTCTCGTAAATCTTTAGTGATGGAATTTTCAGATCAGAAATTTTCATCACTAATTTTTGTTGTAAATTTTTAGCGATGAAAATATTGGTAATTAGCAACAGAATAATTACATCATTAGTGATGGAATTGAAATTGTGTTAATAATCCAATGAGTAACAGAACAATAAGCAATAGAACAAAATTTGTCGCCAATTTAATTTTATGACTAAATAAAATTTTGTCGTTAATCATGTATTTTTTTTAATAGTAGAGAGTGG